CGGGTCCGGGTTTGAACCCGCCACCCTCAGTATATGGGGCCGATGCCCTACTCATTGAGCCACAGGAACCACCCTTGAGTTTGTGTTTTAAGAATTAGCCAAGTCTCCTTTCACAGGCTGATACCAAGTCCCACTTCCTGGAGCAGAGAAGTGCCAGGCACACTCCTTGGGTGAGGGGCTTCTAGTCTCACGGTGAAAATCCCAATGGCTGAAAATCAAAGAGGCCAGAAGATTTAAACATAAGAGTGGGACTGGCCAGGTGTGGGGACTCATGCCTGCAATCCTAACACTCTGGGAGGCCAAGGCTGGTGGATTGCTTCAGCTTGGAGTTCAAGACCGGCCTGAGCAAGAGCAAGATCTCATCTCTATAAAAAAAAAAACAAACAGAAAAATTAGCTGGGCTGGAGGCAGCACCTATAGTCCCAGTTACTCAGGAGGTTGAGGCAGGAGGATTGCTTGAGCCCAGGAGCTGGAGGTTGCCGTAAACTATGACACCAACAGCACCCTAGCCTGCTAGCAGAATGACACTCTGTCTCAAAAAAAAAAAAAAGAAAAAGAAAAAGGAGTACACTTTTGTCAGCTTTCATTCATGTATTCACACTTGTTGCCAAGACTGTCCGTGAGTGTGGGCCCAGAAGGAAGCTGTGGCAGGCGCAGCGGACAGGGCTGGTTGGAAGCAGCGTGGATGGTGGCTTCGTGGTCCTCCTCTTTTCCATTTCTTGCCTCTAGTACCTGGCAAGGAACATGGCCAGCAGCCCAAACCCCCTCTGGCTCAGTGTGGAAGTTCCCAGTGTACCAACAAAGGGCTCTCGGGGAGACCAATCTTTCCTCCAGGCAGTTCCTTCTCTGTTCATTCCCAGCGAGGATTCCCCTCACTCCGAATGCCTCCATTACTCTGCACAGGAGGCTCAGTGGTCAATTCTCAGTCCTCATCGTACCTGACAACTAACACAGGTGGTCAACTCCCACCTTCCATTTTTTTTCTTACATTTTAAGACATCACACTTTTGGTCATCCTTGTACCTCAGTAACTCCTCCTCCTCCATCTCCTCCTCTTCCTCAGCTCAATTCCAACCTCTTCTCTGTGCTACGAGATTGCTCTCTAGGTGACAACATACATGGCTTAAGGACTATTTACATTTCCCAATTTATAACGTAAGCCCCAACCTTTTCTTTATATGTAACCAATCACTTGGGTATTAGTTATCAATTGCTGCATAATAAACTACCCCCAAATTTAGCAGTTTAAAACAAACTTCTTACAGCAATCTGCGAGTGGCTTAGCGCAGTTGTTCTGGCTCGATGTCCCTCCAAAGGCTGCCATCGCCCACCCACACGTTGCAAGGATTCACCTCTAGCCTCACTCACACAACTGTTGGCAGAACCCTTCATGCAGGCCTCTGCTCCGTTGCCACAACCTCACGATCCTGTCTCCCCAGACACTGTGTATAGCTGCTGTTCGTTACTGCCAGCCACATAGGGGGAAGGTCTTTCATTTTTCTGTTTACTACTGTCTCCCCAATGCCTACGATAGTACCTGGCACACAGCAGATACTCAACTCGGTATTTGCTGGGCTGATGAACGGAATAGAAACAGAAATGCCTAGAGTCTTAAAAATTCCAACGTGAAGAAAACTCTAAATGATTATGGTGGTGTAGGGACGTGCAGGTGTGGGAGGCCACTCCATGTGGGCCCCACAAACACAGCATGTAGGAGGATAACAAACACTGAAGCTGTAATTGCTATTTTCTTTCCAAGGAGCTTACAATTTAGTTCAAGATCTAATTCACATGTACTCCAGCTGCCCTGCTACAGGGTGGTCTAAAACTGTGTCAGTCTTAAACCCTGTGATGAAATGCCACTGCCCCAAAGGCAAAGCCCAAACTTCTTGCCGTGGCTTACCCAGAACCCTTGTTCTCGTCTCAGTTTACCTCACTATCTTCATTCTCACCCCTTCCCACTCTGGAAACCACACTTCAGCCAAAATGAAACGCTGTTCACTAAACACAGTAACACAGAGAAAACACCTAGCCTCTCCTGTCAGGTAACTTCTGCTCTGTCACACACCACCTAACTCCCATCCTTGCATGGGCCTCTTCCCCTGGTGGTCAGGGCTCTCGGCAGGAGGGAAGGTAAGCCTCCGCCTGGGTCACACTTGCTAATGTGCGACCAAGGGAAGACATGGCTAAGTGCAGACTGAAGAGGTGGAGACGAGCACAGCAGTCACAGCAAGCAGGGGTGGAAGAGTCGCCGAAGCTCTTTGCAGACACTCTACCACACTTCCCACCCCCTCCCCAGCTCCTGCTCATCTCCTGGTCTCCAGAAACCACATCCCCTAGGATGACTTTCCTGATCCCCAGGGTCTCTCCCACAACTCCTTATACTACTATCACTGCATTTGTTACTAGCGCCAATGCATAAATGAACACATGGATCTGTATCCAAATGCTGGCCCTCCACACTGCACCACTGAGTTGATTATGTATCTTACAGCAACATCATATCCATATCCATCTTCCCTATGGGAAGTGTGTTTGGGTTCTGTTTTATCTTCATTGCTAGTACAATACCTGATACAAAGTGGGTACTTGAAAATGTCTGTGAAATAGACCAGCACATAAATGTAACAAAAATAAATGGGGTAAAAAAGCACAAAGAATGTGTGTGACACTACTACTTTGCAAGACCCAGGAGGATGCAAATATTTAGGAAGATCTGAGACAGCACAAAACTAAGTGAAACAAGAGGCCCGACATGGTGGCTCATGCCTTTAATCCTAGCACACTGGGAGGCTCTAAAAATAGTTGGATATTGTGGTGGGTAACTGTACTCCCAGCTACTTGGGGAGGATGAGGCAAGAGGATTGCTTGAGCCCAAGAGTTTGAGGTTCCCATGGGCTATGACTCCATGGCCCTCAACCCAGGGTGACAAAGTGTGACTCTGTCTCAAAAAAAAAATTCAGCCGGGTACAGCGGCTCACACCTGTAATTCCAGCTCTTTGGGAGGCAGAGGTGGGTGGATTGCCTGAGCTCACAAATTTAAGATCAGCCTGAGCTGGAGCAAGACTCTGTCTCTAAATATAGCCAGGCATAGTGGTGGGCGCCTGTAGTCCCAGCTACTTAGGAGGCTGAGGCAAAAGAATCACTTGAGCCCAAGAGTTAGAGGTTCCTGTGAGCTGTGATACCATGGCACTCTACTGGGGGTGACAAAGTGAAACTCTGTTACAAAAAAGTAAAACAAAATTAAGTGAAATATGATTGAAATACTCTTCAGAAGGGAGAGAGTAAGAGGAGAAAATTAGCCACAAAAAGCAATACTCTCCTTTTTATTAGATTCACAATGAGTTTTTAAAGTCCAACTTTCCCCTTTGTAGAATTTTCTCTGTTATTAACTTCCTCTTTAAAAAGCAGACAAACTCTGTCCTTGAAAGAAGCTTCTTCTGCTTGGTCCAGCGCTGTGCTCAACACGGGTTCACCAGTGCAGTGAAGTCCAGCAGGGCAGAGGGAAGCACTGTAGGGCCAGGTGGCCACATGCCTCCCCTGCTACATCTGCACACACAGACACGTGTGCACACAAACATTCTATATATACACTTTTTCATTTTTACAAAAATAATATAGAGTTTGCACAGCTCTATCAATTTCTTAAAATTACACAGGCAAAATTTATGCTTCAATGTCACCACTTTGTACTTTAGATTGAAGTGGGTATTTTAGGCCTAAAAATAACTTCAGATCACCAAACAGAGGCCTGATAGCAACACAGATTTAATACATCTTGATCTTCACATAACTAGTAACATGGTGGCTGTCCTTATACTGGGTGTTACACATCCCCACAGATTACTTTTATTTTAACTAAAATACAGAAGCAAAATAGTGCATTAAAATAATCCTCTACTCATTGCACTAGCACATACATCAAATTATACTAATTGCATGATAATCTCTACATACTGAACTATGTTTTTAGCATGTGTTCCTTTCTATTTCATTATGTGCAGTTCCCAGCCAGCAATCACAAGAGAACGTGTGCTGCCCTGCATGAGAGGGAACAGCGGATGTGCTGGCTGATAACCTACATGAAACCAAAAGGAAAACAAGAGATATAAAACTAATTTGCTGTGACATTTTATAGTTTTATCAGAAGGAATACATCTAGGTTACAGTTACATGGAAAAAGAAACAAATTCTAGACTTGCCCCTAGAGTATTCAAAATGCTCATGAAAAGTTAATCAGTGTAATAAAGGTGACTACCAGGTGATTGAATAAACAGAATGTCCTGTAGCATTCTGAAAACACAGATTCTAGGACTAAAAGCTACCATGTTTCCCTGAAAATAAGACACTGTCTTATATTTATTTTTTCTCAAGAAGACACACTAGGGCTTATTTTCAGGGTATGTCTTCCTCTCTGTGCCGAAATGCATGGTATGGCTATGCAGATAGGCTGCATAGCCATACCCATCACTAGATCTTATTATCAGGGTAGGGCTTCTATTTAACAAATGCATAGAAATCCTGCTAGGGCTTATTTTTTGGGTAGGTCTTATTTTGGGGGGAAACATGGTACCACCAACATACCCTGAAACTGGGGTTAACAGATACTCTATTTTGCTTGATACTTGATACTAATAAATACAACCACTAAGTGTTTACACAGACTATGAATGAGGGAATAGCCCCACTGACAGTCACAGAGGAGAATAAAATAAACATTATCCTGCCAGAGTCACTACAGAGAGCTTCTAGAGTTTGTTGTCCCTTTCCCCACACAAAGCCCATCTCTTCAAGGCAGAAATCTCTTAATAGTTCAAGCCCATGTTTTCTGCCACCACCAAGAAACAGAGACCAAGCTGGGTGCTAGCAAGTCTTCTAGGTGCTGGTTTGATTCCTAATCAATCAATTGCACAGGGCCCTCTCCACGACCTCAACCTTGTGTTGGGTTCTCCCTGGCACACCCTCCCTCCCATGGGAGGTGGCAGCACTGTCTCTGAAGCCACTGATGAGGTCACACTAGAAGAATTAGAAGAAGGAGGTATCTGAGGAAAAGGCACCTGCAAGTCTAAAATCTTCTTTGGTGAGGACACCGTACATTCGCTGAGGCAGAGCTTTGGAGTAGGGAGCAGGGCGCGGCACGGTGGTGCGCAAAATGAATTCCCGGCCTGCAGGGGGTGGGAAGTCTGACACTGAGTTCTGCCTTCTTTCTTCCAGGGAGCCCATTCTCTTCAATTCGTCCTCTGGTGGAGCCATGGCTGCAGCCTTGAATAGAATCAAATACTAAATTCAAAATCAAGGCAAATGTTAAATGCAGACACTTTTGAAGGACAGATGAATAAACATGATAAATACATAAAAATGTCCTACTTTACTCAGTAATTTAGTCAGCTATATTATGATTATTCAAAAAACACAGAAAATGCAAGAAGCTGGAAACACTGCATGAGCAGCCAAACTGGTGACAGAGACAGAAGGGATAAGACTGCCAGGCAATCTGCTTTGAAAAGTGAGGGCCATATTCAGACATCTGATGAATAGGGAGCTGTCCAGGGTTCTGTATGTTTCCTCTAGCAGTGACCCAAGCCCACATTTGATCTCTTCAGTCCAACAAGGAGCTGTTTCTAGAGTCTCAAAAGATGATTTTCATCTCAACTCTTCCAATCAATTCTTTTAAAGCTCACTTGACAAATTAAAACGGGGTGTGTGGGTGTGCGTGTGCTGTGCAGCTAACGTTGTGACAGAGGTCCATGTAAAAACGGCCACAAAAGAGATGCTTTCATTATGGGCATCTATTTTTCATTAAAATTGCATAAAATACAGCCTTTGTTTTTAACTCTGATCACTATACTTCTATTACAATACTGTCGATTTGGGAAAAAAGAATTGTTTTGGCAATGGAAACATGAAATCATGTTAAGATGAGTATCTACCAGAAAAGTATACTAAATCCAGAGTGTTTAAGAGGTGGTTAGTTTTAATGACCTTATGAAGTTAGAGGGATGGAAAGAAACAAGGAACTATGAGGGACAAAGGCTATTTTGTTACCTCATCAGAAGACTCAGTCAGCTTGAGAAAGGGTGAGAAAAGAAACAGTGATGAAAGGGAAACAAGCAAGATGGTTTAAAAAGGGCTAGACAAGAGAATTCAAGATTATTTCAGAGACAGCACGCATTACATTAAAGAACATGATCCTATCAAGAGAATGTTCAAGACAAACAAAGCCACACCACATACAACACACCCAGCTATCCAACAGAGCAGACACATCCCACACTCATGCCTCTAATGGTGCAACACGTGATGCAGAGAGTGTCATTTAATGGGGAAATGATTCGACAAAAACCTAGCTCTTTTATCAAAGAATTACGATGCTAAGAAAAAGTGCTCATGGCTTGAAAAATAGATACTCCAGTGAATTTAAGGAGAGGTGCCTAAGAGTTCATCTGAAGCAAAACCCAATCAGTATGTACATAACCACAGACACATAATCGTGGTAAAGTTTATCATTTATAATTTTAGGTTCTAAATATATAAAATTAATAATGTAAGGGTATATGGCACACTTCTTGGGTGTGGGACACAACTATAAGAGGGACTCTACCTAACAAATGTAAACACTGTAACCTAGTTAACCTGAAATTAAAAACAAAAAATACCCATATAGCCGGGTACCTTGGCTCATCCCTATAATCCCAGTACTCTGGGAGGCCATGGCAGGTGGATTGCCTGAGCTCAGGAGTTCGAGACCACCCTGAGCAAGAGCAAGACCCAGACTCTAAAAAATAGCTGGGTGTTGAGATAGGCATCTATAGTCCCAGCTACTTGGGAGGCTGAGACAAGAGGATTGCCTGAGCCCAAGAGTTTGAGGTTGCTGTGAGATGTGACACCATGGCACTCTACTAAGACTGTCTCAAAAAAAAAAAAAAAATTCTATGGCTCAGCATCCATAGCTCAGTGGTTAGGGTGCTGGCCACATACACTGAGGCTGGTGGGTTTGAACCCAGCCCAGAAGATAACAACAACAACGACAATAAAAAAGAACTGGGCATTGTGGCAGATGCCTGTACTCCTAGCTACTCGGGAGGCTGAGGCAAGAGAATCGCTTAAGCCCAAGAGTTTTTGGTTGCTATGAACTAAATGACACCATGGTACTCTACTGAGGACAACAAATGAAACTCTGCCTCAAAAAAAAAAAAATATATATATATATATATATGTGTGTGTGTGTGTGTATAAAATAAATATCTACCATAAAAAATTCCTAGTGAAATTTCATTACTTTTTAAAAAATATGTTAAAATCTTAATAAAATTAATGTATACTGTCAAATCATATGGTAAGAAAAGTTATATGAATAAACTTTTAACAGTTTACTTTAGCTGGACATTTAAGAGCTGAGTTTAAAAACATACCAACCAGAAGCTTGTTATATGGATTACATGGTCTACCAATTCCCTAAAAACTTTCTCTGTAAGGTCTGAAGGTTTGAAATCTTTAAATTATATAATGTAAGACAAATGTACAAGTTCAGTATCCTTGAAAGGGGATTAGCTATATAGTGAGACTACTGAAAAGTTGATATACTGTACTCTATTTAGTGATTCTGAAAAATACTTTAAGTATATTAAGAGGCAAATAAGAATAATATAGTTGGCTCAGCACCCATAGCACAGTGGTTAGGGCACCAACCACATACACTGAGGCTGGCAGGTTTGAACCCGGCCCAAGCCAGCTAAACAACAATGACAACTTGAACAACAACAACAAAAATAGTGAGCTGTTGTGGCAGGCGCCTGTAGTCCCAGCTACTTGGGAGGCTGAGGCAAGACAGTCACTTAAGCCCAAGAGTTTGAGGTTGCTGTGAGCTGTGATGCCACGACACTACCGAGGACTGTATAGTAAGACTCTGTCTCAAAAAAAAAAAAAAAAAAAAAGAAGAAAGTTATGATGTACTATAACCCAGTTTTTAATATGAGGTATATATTTGTATATACTAGATGTTAAATGTTGACAGTGATCATCAGTGGGTAGTGATAATATATGATTAATTTTTTCTTTATAATGTTTTCTGTTGTCAAAAATTTTTATAATAAGTCTCAACTTACTATTAGTAGAGGGAGTGGAGAAACTATTTCTATTTGGGGGAAAATAATTTTGCTTAATTATTCAAAACAAGTAATACTCTCAGCACTAAAATTATAAATACTTTGAATTTTTAATCTTATTAACATACAACTTTTAAAAAATGATCAAAGAAAAAAGAGTTTTTACACTAGGAGGAAAACTGATATTGGTGGTTAACTAGGAAATGTGCTTATAAGTGTCTGAGTAGACAGACACTTTGTATAACTTTGTCTAAGCTGGCAAAGTTACAGGATGTAAAAACAAATTCAGTTCTTGTTTCATGCCAGAGACAAAGATAAAATAAATAAAAGTAAGTATCTACTATTTCCTAGAAGACTAATTTGTGAGGAAATAAAATATTGGGTTATTAACTTGGAAACTTAAGTTTAGGGAGCTATATCCTGTAAATAAATTTTAGTTTTTAGCTCTTGCTAAAACTTTTATCAGTATATTTGGCTATTATTTGAATATACTAACTAATTGTATTCCAGACCAACTCAACTGAAGTTATCCAGTTGTTATTCATATTTAGACCCATGAAAATTCTTTCTCTTATTTGATTCTCTTATTTGAAAAACTAGGTCATTCTCATGTCAGCACAGTCAGGCAAGAGAAAATTATATTTAATGCACATCATAATGTTTTTATCAGAATATCTAATATTAATGAGCCCTGACATGAGATCATCTGTGGGATGTCAGTACTTCTTTTTTTGAGACAGAGTCTCACTCTTTCTGTCACCCTCTGTAGAGTGCCATGGCGTCATGGCTCACAGCAACCTCAAACTCTTGGGCTTAAGCAATTCTCTTGCCTCAGCCTCCCAAGTAGTTGGGACTACAAGTGCCTGCCACAATGCCCAGCTATTTTTTTGTTGCAGTTATCATTGTTGTTTAGCTAGCCTGGGCCGGGTTTGAATCTGCCAACCCTGGTGTATGTGGCCAGCGTCCTAACCACTGAGGTATGAGTGCTGAGCTGCCAGCACTTCCTACCCAGTAACCAGGGTACTATATAATTTTAAAACTTTTACTTTCACTAGTAGAGGTAATGATGATAATAAGTTTTCAAACTGGTCTTTCTTTCTGTGCTAGAATCTGTTTCCATAGTCTTAAAAACCTCCAATCCTCCTCTCTTCCTTTCTATGGAACATCTATTGGTCTTTTCACCATTATAAGAATAGTTAGATTTATAATTCAAAGTGAACTGTAAATCTACTTTGCAGCACATGGGGTTTAAAGAGAAGGTAAAACTGAACTCTATTCTACTCAAAAGCACCTGCAGTGAACATTTTTTCCCACAGCACAGTACTGTCCATTGCTGAATCCCTGCCAGCTTTTGCAACAATGGATTTCAGACCTTTTCAATTTCTGAAATTTAGGTCCTGGAATATACTTATCATTTTACTTAAGCATGTGAGAGAGCAAATGGATTTCAGATTCAGCAGCGACAGAATCATAGTTCCTTCAGTGTTCAAACCCAATGCCCAGACGCTTTCTCAATTAGCAGCTGTATTAATTAGCCACATGCACGAATTAAAACAGCATCTTCCCAAGTGGAGGTCTAGAGAGATCAGGATGGAGTCAGTAATGAATCTCACATACCCTCTGAGCATTCACAAACAACTTGTGAATGATCCTGCCCGCATGACCTCTTCCGGCACCGGTGACTAACACTTCAGGCTGTTCCAGTAGGCAACTCACAAACCTAGGAAAGAGAGGTAACACCAGGATGGAGACCAAACTATTTGGCTGCCCGTGTCCATCCTCCCACAGGAATGTTGTTGACAAATCCTCCCTCTAATACTGACTAGACCTACCATGGCTGGAGGGGAAATTTTATAGGATAGATTGACATTTGGAAGTGAAATTAACTCAGTTGACAATATTTCTGCTTTTTCAACTGTTTTCATAATTTTTTTTTAAAAAGCCCATCTCTGTCAAACTAGAAGAAGAAATATTCAGTCTATTTTTTTCAGACTAGAGGCTTAGAAAATGCTACAGTTCATAAAAGATGAAAAAAAAATTGGGGGATAGTAGAAACTAAGATTTATTTAGGAAAGCAATGATGTATATTTGTTTTTGTTTTTTAAGGGGTGTGTATGTGCACCGGTATGTTTAAATATAAGTTGTGTTGGGCAAAGTCTCAACAGTAAACTTTGCCATTATGTGCTGGAAACATTGTCCTTCCAAGTCTATCCCAGATAGCGTATGGTGGAACTAACAGAGTTGAAGGCACAGAGCCACCAAGCCCGTACCACCTGCTCACTGATACAGCTATTTTAGAAATGATTCCCTTGATTAGAGCTTATTCTTCTAACTTAAAACAAGCAATTTTCAAGAACAAAGTAGGCTGGGTGAAAATTTCACTTAACCAAAGATATAAAATTCAAACAAGAACTTGTTAAAAGCTATAACAAATGTCTTGTCATATAATATTAATTATTTAGCATCGATAATGCCATTTCCCACAGAAAAGCTAATGAAAATTTTAAGATAATGACAAATTCAAACCATTGAACAAGCTAATTTAGAAACACTTTATCACACGTTAAAACATCATCCTATCACTTGAGCCCTAGAGTTTGAGGTTGCTGTGAGCTATGACACCAGAGCGCTCTACCAAGGGCGACAAAATGAGACTCTGTCTCAAAAAAAAGAAAGAAAGAAAAGGAAAAAAAGAGCACAGTGGCCAAATCCTATAATTAAGTATATCTTTGTCTTTAGTCAATGCTTATTTCAAATAATAAGTACCACAATAGTTTCAATATCTTAATACAATTTTTCCTTTTTCTTCTTTTTAAGATCAAGGTCTTACTCTGTTACCCAGTCTTGAATGCAGTAGCCAGATCACCAGATCACAGCTCACTGCAACCTTGAACACCTGGGCTCAAGGGATCCTGCCTCAGCCTCCTGAGTAGCTGGAACTCCATGTGTACACTACCATGCCCAGCAAATTAGTTTTTTGTAAAGATGGGGTCTCACTTTATTATCCAGGCTGGGCTCAAACTTCTGACCTCAGCAATCCTCCCACCTTGGCCTCACAAAATGCTAGGATTACAGGTATGAGCCACTATGCCCAGCCTATTACAACTTTTCTTAAGAGAGTGGGAGCTTTTCTTATTGTAGACCAAACTGAGTTAGCCAAATAGCAATTACCTTTCAAGATCTTCCTTTTCCTCCTCCTGTTCACATTTTTCAGTTCCAAACTTGGCTTTCAGTGACCGGGCTCTAGCAATTAGAGCTTCCACATTAGTAATCTGGTGGATGATTTCCTAAGAGAGGAAAAGGGAGAGACATAAGTAAAAAAGCAAAGCCTTTTATAAGCATATCTTCAAATAACTACTGCCAACTGAGGAGAACACTTGGCAAGATTTTGACACCACATCAAACTTACTTCCAATTTCTTGTCTTCTGGATTAGGGAAGTGCAAAACTTTACTGGAATGGGATATTATCTGCTTTATAATCTTCTTAACTGAAGAAATGTTTTCCAGAATTTCTATTTTTAAAAAGATCAAAGCAATTATTAAATAAAGTAAAATATAATTTCACTTTGGAAATAAACTAATGACTAATCAAAATGACATTTACCTTCTTCCTTTACCTTGAGTACAGCTGCATGAATCACACAAGGTAACAGGTGCCGAGCAAGGTCTGCAGGTTTCTGGATTGCGAAATAGTGAAGCACCTGAAGGAGGCAAGTTACATAAATGCTGAATGCGGGTGTCACAGACCAGAGCATCATTCACAAAGTACAGAACCCTCAACCACTCAACTCATATCTGCATCAAGAGTAGAGAACTCTTCTCTTTAGTACCTATTCCCACTCACGCAGGTAGATAGCTACTATGCCCAAAGGTAAGAATAATATTACTGAAGGAACCTAAAGGCTCGGTGCCCATAGCACAGTGGTTATGGCGCCAGCCACCTACACCAAGAGTGGCAGGTTTGAACCTGGCCTGGGTCAGCTAAACAACAATGACAACTGCAACAAAAAATAGCCAGGCATTGTGGTGGGCGCCTGTAGTCCCAGGTACCTGGGAGGCTGAGCAAGAGAACTGCCTGACCCTGAGAGTTTGAGGTTGCTGTGAGTTGTGATGCCACAGAACTCTACCAAGGGTGACATAGTAAGAGACTGTCTCCAAAAAAAAAAAAAAAAAAAAAAAAGGAAAAGAAAAGAAAAAAACCTAAGAACATCAATCTTTATTTACTTATTTTTTTAGAGACAGTCTCACTTTGTCACCCTTGGTAGAGTGCTGTGGCCCTACAGCTCACAGCAACCTCCAGCTTTTTGGGCTTAGGCGATTCTCTTGCCTCAACTTCTGTCTGAAGTAGCTGGGACTACAGGCACCTGCCATAACGCCCAGCCATTTTTTCTTGCAGTTTGGCTGGGGCTGGGTTTGAACCTGCCACCCACAGTACATGGGGTCAGCGCCCTACTCACTGAGCCCACAGGCGCCACCCTACATCAATCTTTAATAATAATAAATATTTTCATAATTTTTTTGATTGTATATAATACATTCAGATTAGGAAAACAGAAGACTATAAAAACCATCTGTTAATCATAATACCTAGAAATAACAATTATTAACAGTGGGGCATTTTCATTCCAGAATTTTTTTTTTTTTAAGAGACAGAGTCTCACTTTATTGCCCTCAGTAGAGTGCCAAAGTGTCATACAGCTCATAGCAACCTCCAACTCCTGGGCTTAGGCTATTCTCTTGCCTTAGCCTCCCAACTACAGGTGCCCGCCACAACGCCCAGCTATTTTTTTGTTGCAGTTTGGCTGGGGCTGGGTTTGAACCCACCACCCTCAGTATATGGGGCCAGCAGCATCCTACCAGCTAAGTCACAAGTGCTGCCCCTCATTCCAGAATTTTTGACAATACAAGTAAGGGAATTAATATTAAATATGTACAATACTGTTTGTAATCTACTTTTCTCAGTATTTCTAAACATTGTTAGTGAACTTTCATAAATTTATTTCGATTGTTTACTTGTTTTGGTTTATTCTATTTTTTTCCAAAATGGAAATTGTTTTTATTATTTTTCTTATAATAAAATTAAAGAGAAGTATGTGCAATACTTGGACCCTACCTTTAAACTCCTTATTCAACAGCAACAAAAATAAAAGAAGTATAACTGTATAAGTATATATAGTTATTTTGTATCAATAAAAACTTTTATTTATTTTTTGTTTTGTTTTGTTTTTTGAGACAGAGTCTCACTTTGTCACCCTCAGTAGAGTGGCATGGAGTCACAGCTTACAGCAACCTCAAATTCTTGGGCTCAAGCCTTTCTCTTGCCTCAGCCCCCTGAGTAGCTGGGACTATAGGCACCTGACACAATGCCCAGCTATTTTTAGAGACAGGGTCTTACTCTTGTTCAGGCTGGTGTCGAACCTGTGAGCTTAGACATTCTAACTGCCTCAGCTTCCCAGAATAAAAAATTCTTTTAAAAGTATAATCTTAGGCTTGGCGCCTGTGGCTCAAGTGGCTAAGGCGCCAGCCACACACACCTAAGGTGGCGGGTTCAAATCCAGCCCAGGCCTGCCAAACAACGAGGGCTGCAACCAAAAAATAGCTGAGCGTTGTGTTGGGAGCCTGTGATCCCAGCTACTTGGGAGGCAGAGAGGTTGCTGTGAGCTATGATGCCACAGCACTCTACCCAGGGTGACAGCTTGAGGCTCTGTCTCAAAAAAAAAAAAAAGTAGAATCTTATAATGTGTTCCTGATAAATGGTCATGGATTTCAAAAATAAATTAAGAGAAATATAATGCAGAAATTCTGAAATCCTACTTCCTGCCAAAACCCCATGTTTCTATGTTCTCAGACTTTTTTCTATGATTGTTTAAACAGAAACAGAAATTCAAATGTAATTTCTTAACAGAAGTCTATAATTTATGTACTGTTCTATAATTTGTTTTGTTCATTTAATAATTTATAGTAGCTTTTTATTTTTTGGCCTGCAGTTGTAAGTGATTTCAAACTTCACTAAAATTAAGAAATATACATACCAGAGTAGTACTTATAAATAGAAAACATGAACACCTGTTTACTTACTAACTAGCATAAGAGACAGACTATCACTACTACTTTCTAAGCCCCCTTAATCAAATCTCTCTTCTTCCACTTCACTCCTCCCACCTCTCCCCAGAAATAACAGACTCATGCTTTTCTTTAGTTTTCTCACCTATGTAGTCCTAAACAATATATTGTTTAGTTTTACCTGGTTTTAATAGAATGTTTCTATTTATACCTATCAGCTACTTGCTTTTTTTCATTCAGCATTGTTTTTAAGATTCACACATGCTGTTGTTACATGCTATAGTGTATTCATTCTCACTGTTGTATTAAAATGTTCTTCTACTATTGGTGCATAACCTCCACCCTGACTTGTGGCTATTACAAATAAGGCTGTATGTTGTTACACCTATTTCTTGGTGCACATGGCACATACAGAAGAATTTCTTTAGGGTATGTATTTAAAAATAAAACTAGGATACCTACAAGATAATGTCAAACTATTTTATAAAGTGTTTCAACAGACTTTTTGTCACCCTTGGTCGAGTGCCATGGCACTCACAGCAACCTCAAACTCTTGGGCTTGTCAAACCATTCTCCTGCCTCAGCCTCCCCAATAGCAGGGACTACATGTGCTCCCCCCACACACAATGCCCAGCTATTTTTCATGAAGGGGTCTTGCTCTTGCTCAGGCTGGTCTTAAATTTGTGAGTTCAGGCTATCCACCTGCCTCTGCCTCCTAGACTGCTGGGATGACGGTGTGAGCCACTGCGCCTGGCCCATATTTACACTCCTATAAAATAGAGTAATGAGTTCCTATTCTTGTATCTCCTTACTAACATTTACTATTCTAAATTTTGTTTTAACTTATAGAAAAAGAAATTTGCAAGAATAATGTAAAATATTTGGATACCCTTTATCTAGATCCACTTATTATTAACTCTTTCCCTCCTCTGTTTTTGATCACCTGCATCTTTCTCCCCCCTTTAGCTGGGTGTGTACATACACTATATATGTACATAAAGTTTTTTCTGAATAATTTCAGAATAAGTTGTATATATTATGTCCCTTATAACCAAATACCTTAATGTGTATTTTCTAAAATCAAAAATATTTTCCTACATAAAAATGTAAATGATTCTGATTATGTAAAACAAAACAAATTTAACACTGATAAACACTTTTAACCTACAATCATTATAATTTTATCAACTGACCCAAACAATGCCTTTTATGAATTTTTCCTCTCCACTACTACAGGCTTCAGTTAGGAATCCATCCATTATCCTAGTTGTCACGACTTTTTAATCTCAATCTGAAAGATTTTTACTCTTTTATAAAAAACACTGTCATTTTATGCTAAGTGTGGTGGCTCACACCTATAATCCTAGCACTTTGGGATGCTGAGGTGGGTGGATTGTTGAGCTCAGCATCCAAGACCAGCTTGAGCAAGAGTGAGACCCCATTTCTAAAAACAGCTGGGCATTGTGGAAGGTGCCTATAGTCCCAGCTACTCGGGAGGCTGAGGCAAAGAGGATCACTTAAGCCCAAGAGTTTTGAGGTTGCTGTGAGGTACGACATCATGGCAAGAACTAAGACTTTGTCTCCCAAAAAAAAAAAAGAAAAAACTTTGTCATTTTGAGTATAGACCCTCCCCTTTGTAATTAACTAAATTCCATAGCTTATTCAGATTGCCTTCTTTTTTATTCATTATTGATTTTTATTTTCTTGTTTGGGATTCACTGAGGGTACAAAGAGTTAGGTTACACTGACTGGATTTGTTAGGTAAAGTCCTAGATTTCCTTAGTTTTTAAACATTGGGATATAATTCATATACCATAAAATTCACCACTTTAAAATAAATATTTCAGTGGTTTTTAACATATTTAGCAATCACCATTATCTGATTCTAGAACATTTTTGTCTCCCTCAAAAGAAATCCAATACCCAAAGCAGTCACTCCCCATTTCCCCAATCCCTACCCATTGGCAACTACTAATCTAACTTACTTTCTGTATAAACATGGCTTTTCTGGGATTCCAAATACATGGACTGATTCAGGGTGTGGCATTTGGTTCCTGCTTCTTTCAGTCAGCATAGTGTTTTTGAGGTTCGCCCATGCTGTGGCACATATCACGACTTCATTCCTCCTCACAGCTGAGTAATACTCCATTGTATGGACAGACTATATTTTGCTTATCCATTAATCATTGATAGACATTTGTTCCATTTCTCTTACCATTTGTGTACTCAACTTCTTTAGTTTTTAGCCTTTTTCCTAGTCTAGGACCCCATTTGGAATATCGCATTATGTTTAGCTGTCTTGTTTGTAGAGTCCTTCCGGTTGTGAGTTTCTCAGAATTTCTTTGTTTCAAAACCTTGACAGTTTTAAGGAGTTCTAGTCAGGTATTTTGTAAAGAGTTTCTCAATTGGGATTTATCTGACATTTTTCTTATGATTAAACTGAAAACTGAGTTATGTATTTGGGGGAGGAAGACCAGAGAGCTATGGTACCATTTGCATGGCATCAAGAGGCTATTCTGTCACTATGACTTATCCTGTGGATGTTAACCCTCACCGCCTGGCTGAGGGAGTGCCTGGCAGGGTTTTGCACTGTGTGTTACTCTCTCCATCCACCCCACTCGGCACATCATACTCTTTG